GGCAGCTTGGGTTGTAGATCATCCACCAGGTACCCCAGAACCTGGCTGTGCTCACTACTTTCTGCTCCATTGCTGGTAGCCTTGGTAACATTTTCTAGGTATGTTACACTCTCCCTGCTGCACTCATTCCTGGCAGTCAATATGCAATAAATATGCCTATGTGGCATCATCATGCTAATTTTTTTTAGGCAAGGGAAGGTTCTTCTATTTTTTTTTTTAATGCTAAATTGGCTGTGGTGATGATGAGGGAAACTAAAGTACTGGTTGATTTTTTTTTTTGCTGATCAAATCCGTTACCATTTAAAGAACAGTGCAGGTAAAGAGGATATCTACAAAAATATATGATCATTAGAATTAGATATCAGGCAAAGGAAAAAGACAAGTTGTTACCTCTGGATATGAAATTGCCAGAATTCGTAAACTCTGATTATTTAACATCTAAAGTATTTCCAAAGTGTTTCCTAATTTGTGATTGTAGAAAAAGGTTATAGTTCAGTGATCACAGCTAATTATAGTTACCAAAAGCTTATTAATAATAATTAATATTAATCATCTTTGTGACAGTTAATATTATTCATATTACTTTCAACATTGTAGAACTGTAGAATTTGTATCTTTCTTAAACACCCATTTCATCCTGTAACTTTCTTACTAAAAGGAATCTGGCACTACACCCTATTTTCCTAGATACCTTGAGCCAAAGTCCTCAGCCTCTATTCCCTGGCCCAGAGGAGCTCTCCATGGTGCTGAACCCTGGCTTCCCCACCCCACATGCTGATGGTTCCTCCGGCAAACCTGGGCTGACATTGCTCAGTCTCCCTCTGCCTGTTTGCTGTGCACCTGAGTCTTCCTGTCTCAGAGTGGCACAGGAAACCCCCATGAAACATTCCAGGACCAGGGAGACAGGCGGCAGAGACCACTCTGGTTGGTTCACAGAGAGGGCTCTATCAGCCGACATCTCAGGGCTCTTGCTGAGCTGCATTCATGCAGACGTGTTGGAATGGACTGGCCAAACTCTCCTCCCTGGTGAAATACTGCCTGGCCTCATGTGGAGGGTTCTTCTCACAAGCTGCTGTGAGGGTCACCAGCAGTGCCTGGATCTGGGCCTGTCTCAGAACAATGCTGGCTTGAAGTCCTAAAATGTACAGCTTCCCCCAAGCAACACCCTGGAAGGCCCTCCCTGCATACACTCAACAATATATACACTTGCATGTTCCAGACACACACACACACACACACACACACAGTAGAACTCACTCACTTGTGCACATATCACTTGCACATTCAAAAACATACTCACGACACATGTGCATGCCACACACATTCAACATATATACATACATGCCCCAGACATACTAAATCACTCCACATACACATACAATACAGAACTCACTCACATGTACACATATCACATACACACTCAAAAACCTGTTCATGCTCACAAGTGCATGCCACACACACACTCAACACACAGTCACTGGCAACTCGGATCCAAGTTGTAGGTTTTACTTCCTGAGTCTCTGATTGATTAAACATTGAAACGTGGCATAAGTTGTGTCTTTCCATTGCCAGCTTTCTATTCTGTGTTCTAGGATCTACCCAAAGATGGTCCTAGGAGGATCCTGGGTCTTTTGAAGATTGTGTAAAGTGCAATCTAGAATTTATTTTCACTCCATTTTTGACTCAAAAGCATTCACTCATTTTCTTTGATAATTCGCAAATTGATTCATTGTGTCAGTCTGGGAATTGCAGTTTATCCAGGTATAATTTTAAACGGATGATAAGAAGATGATATAATTTTAAAAGTAATTAATATATAAAATCTATAATTTGTGTAAATAGAAAAAAAGATTGATGCTCAAGATGGTGCTACTGTCTGCCTACATGGATATTTTGTTTTCCAAGCAGTTTTTGCAGTGGGATTTCAGGTGTGAATGAAATTTCAGGTGTAGGGTGTCTCCAAAGACAGCCTCTAGGCTGTGACTCTGAGCTGTGCCTTCACTCATTAAAACAGGCAAAGGGGGCTAACATTCACCCAGCTGTTCAGTTACCATCTGATACTCAGGGATTTGTTTTTCTTCTCCCGTACAGATAAGGTGTGTCAAATTTAAATTTTAGTACAAACTAATGTAAAATTGCTTTTCATTTTCTCCTGTAAAGTCCTACTTAATCATCTTTGATGACCAAGAAGGAAAAGCATCTATTTCTCTTATGATTTTTACTACAAAGCGGGGGGGGGGCTCATTCTTTCCAGGTGCTTCAGAGACTGCATCTGTAACCACTGTGGAACAAAAGATGCATGTGTGTTTACAGTGTTGTCAATCAACACATTTGATAAAAATGTTTCTTCAGGAACCCATCACTGAGATGAGGAGAGGCCTATTGTGATGTGAGGGGTCTTTAAAGGTTTGTGAAACTGCAAAATATGAAAAAGTGTGTGTATCATAAAAAATCTCTGTATAAAAATAAATCTATATTTTAATTTCATTTCCATGAACTTAGTGAAGTACCCTTGTATAATAATAGTCTTAAAAATTAATTAAGTATAGTGTTCAAAGTCAATAAAAATGAAAACTGACAGTTCATTTCTCAATATCCCTCAACACATCACAGAGATGCACAGTCACACAGACACTTCCATCGCTGGTTCACTCCCTAGCTGGCCATGACAGCCAGTGTTGGGCTAGGCTGAAACCAGAGTCTCCCATATAGGAGCAGGGGTCCATCCACTTGGGCCATCTTCTGCTGTTTCCCAAGCCATTAGCAGGGAGCTAGATTGGAAATGGAGCAGGTAGGAGGAGACCTGGTACCCATATAGGATGTCAGGGTTGAACTCCGCAGCTTTATCTGCTACTCCACAGCACTGGCCCCTGCCAATTTCTTAAGTCACAAATGGATGCTTGTTTAAAATCTTAACAATGTAGTAATACTAATCATATAGGACAACTCAATTTCTATGAACCTATGAATTATTGATTACAAGACAATATGGAGAATAGGACAGCTATGAACTTGATGAAGTTTTCCATATAAAGTGAAGGGATTGCAAAACATATATAGAAGTTAGCTCCATGTAAAAATAAAACATATACTACAGAGGTACTGTGTGGATTATTACTTCTTTTTTTTAAACTTTTATTTAATGAATATAAATTTCCAAAGTACAGCTTATGGATTACAATGGCTTCCCCCCCATAACGTCCCTCCCACCCGCAACCCTCCCCTTATCCACTCCCTCTCCCTTTCCATTCACATCAAGATTCATTTTCGTTTCTCTTTATATACAGAAGATCAGTTTAGCATACATTAAGTATAGATTTCAACAGTTTGCTCCCACACAGAAACATAAAGTGAAAAATACTGTTTGAGTACTAGTTATAGCATTAAATCTCAATGTACAGCACACTAAGGACAAAGATCCTACATGAGGAGTTAGTGCACAGTGACTCCTGTTGTTGACTTAACAAATTGACACTCTTGTTTATGGCATCAGTTATCAACCTAGGCTCTTGTCATGAGCTGCCAAGGCTATGGAAGCCCCCTGAGTTCACTGACTCTGATCATATTTAGACAAAGCCATGGTCAAAGTGGAAGTTCTCTCCTCCCTTCAGAGAAAGGTACCTCCTTCTTTGATGACCCGTTCTTTCCACTGGGATCTCACTCAGCGAGGTCCTTCATGTAGGACAGTTTTTGCCATTATGCCTTAAGGCTGATTCTGAGGCCAGAGTGCTGTTTAGGACATTTGCCATTCTATGGGTCTGCTGTGTATCTCACTTCCAATGTTGGATCATTCTCTCCCTTTTTTATTCTACCAGCTAGTATTTGCAGACACTAGTCTTGTTTATGTGCTCCCTTTGACTCTTAGTCCTATCATTATGATCAATTGTGAACAGAAATTGATCACTGGGACTAGTGAGATGGCATTGGTACATGCCACCTCAATGGGATTGAATTCGAATCCCCTGGTAAGTCAGCTTGAGCATGTCCCGAATTGCACATCTCTTCCCTCTCTTATTCCCACTCTTATATTTAACAGCGATCACTTTTCAGTTAAGTTTCAGCACTTAAGAAGAATTGTGTATTGATTACAGTATTCAACCAAAAGTATTAAGTAGAAAAAAAAACATACTAAGAGGGATAACATATCAAGTTGCTCATCAACAGTCAGGGTGAGGGCTGATCAAGTCACCATTTCTCATAGTGTTCATCTCACTTTAACAGGTTTCCTTTTTGGTGCTCAGTTAGTTGTCACCTATCAAGGAGAGTTCAAGGAAGAGTAGGGGAAGAAACAGCAGAAGAAACTCTTCCAGAACAAGTGATTCACAGTGGACCTGCGTGGAGAGCGTGGGAGCCCACAGTTCGGGATACCAGCGGCAGACTCAACATACGTCAGCACTGCAACGCAAGGTGAGCCGAACCTCAATAGCCCGAGACACCGGCAGGCAAGCGGAAAGAGGAGACTAGAGGGAATGACCCCGGAGGGAAAAGTTTACCAGGCTAACTAGAAGAGAGAGAGAAGAGAGAAAAAAAAGGTGACTGGTACAGACACGGGTTTCTCTCTCTCCGCTCACCTCTCAAAGGTGAGCAAGACAAAGAGCAGGTGCCATCTTGGACATACGTCATAAGCAGAGTGACCTCAGGTCTGCACTGGCCCTGAGCCTAGCAGAAAAACCTGACTCTGGGCTGGGCGAATTAACAGGAGATTAGGACCTAGTAAATTTGTGGGATTATTACTTCTGCACTTCATATGTAGCTTACAGAGGATGGACTTGTGGTGGCCCTGAACAGATGATGACTTTGTGTGAGTTTAGAGGTTAATCAGTGGCATAAAGATAGTTAATATGAAACCTGGATTTAAAGTGATTCTGAAGTCCATGTCCTTCCTTTACTCCCATTGTTTCTGCCATACCATGGGTGGTGACCTCTTCCATAATACGATGATTGAGTAACCCACAGACTTCTTGGCTCTGCAGCCTCGGGGGCTGCCAGGCCACGTGGACATGGAGATTCTGCACAACTCCACAGACTTCATCCTCCTGGGTCTCATCACCCACCCCACGTGCCCTGGCCTCATCTTTGCAGTCATCTTCTCCATCTTTGTGGTGGCTGTCACAGCCAACGTGGCCATGATCCTGCTCATCCACAGGGACCCGCACCTCCACACGCCCATGTACTTCTTGCTCAGCCAGCTCTCCTTTATGGACACTGTCTACATCTGTGTCACTGTCCCCAAGACACTCCAAGACCTGCTGTCCAAGGAAAAGACCATTTCCTTCCTGGGCTGTGCATTTCAGATCTTCTTCTACCTGACCCTTGTTGGAGGTGAATTCTTCCTGCTGGGCTTCATGGCCTATGACAGATATGTGGCTGTGTGCAGGCCCTTGCGGTACCCTCTCCTCATGAACCGCAGGGTTTGCTTATTCATGGTGGTGAGCTCCTGGGTAGGCGGATCCTTGGATGGATTCATGCTAAGTCCTGTCACCATGAGCTTCCCCTACTGTGGGTCTCGAGAGATCAACCACTTCTTCTGTGAGATCCCAGCGGTGCTGAAGCTGTCATGCACAGACACGTCTCTCTACGAGACCCTGATGTACGCTTGCTGCGTGCTGATGCTGCTCATCCCTTTGTCTGTCATTTCTGTCTCCTACACACACATCCTCATCACGGTCCACAGGATGAACTCTGCCAAGGGCCGGCACAAAGCCTTCACAACGTGTTCCTCCCATATAATGGTGGTGATCATCTTCTATGGGGCAGCCTTCTACACCAATGTGCTGCCCCATTCCTACCACATGCCAGAGAAAGATAAGGTTGTGTCTGCATTCTACACCATCCTCACCCCCATGCTGAACCCCCTCATCTACAGCCTGAGAAACAAGGATGTGGAAGAGGCTCTTAGGAAAGCCCTGGGGAGGTGTGCTGCCTCCCGGAGAATCAGAGCAGGGAGAGTGCCCAGGAAATACTAGGAGTGGGTGATGAAGCAAGCCTCCTTGTTGCTATGGCCAATGACACAGTCATTCCAGAAAGTACTGTCTTGATTCTGAAAAGCATGCCCTGTCATTTTCACAACTCAAAATCACCCACTGAGAAAAGTCATTGCACTGCAAGCACCAGTTAAGAAAAGTAGACAAAAGCAGCAAGCACCTCATCATGGTTAACTTGCTCAAATCCATGCTTGGTCCATCAGCACTACCAATCATCCCAGCAGGCAAGCACCCCTTCTGAGTATCATCAACAGTCATTTTTGATATATTTTTGCGATTTATTTAGAGAGAGGAAGATATTTCATCCATTGGTTCATTCCTCAAATGGTCACCATGGCCGGGGTTAGTCTGGGCCAAAGCCAAGGACCAGGAGTTTCATCCAGGTCTCCCATGTGGGTGCAGGTACCCAAGTACATGGGTCACCTTCTGTTGTTTTCCCAGGTGCATTTTATACATCACAAGTGGGTGCTTTCAGTCTGTATTGATGACCAACTTCTGCACAGAAATTACAGCAGAATTTTACATGTCCTTGATAATTTAACAGCAAATATCCAAAACAAGTGAAATGTTTTCTAATGGTAATATAATAACTTAGCACTTTCCTTAGAAAACTTTTGTGTAGTTTATATGATTGTATTTTGGGTTCTGTATTTATAGTCACATTTTAGCAATGTCATTATCTTCTGACCTAAAGACTTATACTGTGGACACTTACTCTGCCTTTATTCACATAGACTAAAATATCCCTGGAAGTTAATAGCATTTATTGATTGCTTCATTGATTGATTTTTTTAAAAAAATTGACTTTACCATTAAGTTTGCAATGTTACTACAAACCTACAAAAATACATCTATACTTGAATAAAGTGCATATACATAGAACAATGAATCAAGATATTTCATGTGCTGACTTAACTCCCTGTGGTCAAGTTTCTCAATTTCCCTATTGACAGTCTCTCCATTGTTATGCAAAGGGACAAAGATTTCCTTTCTTAATTGATTGGAGTTAGGTGTGGTGTTTTGATAGGTGTGCAACTTTGATAGGGCATTGACTAAACAAGGATCACACTGAGTCTTCTACCCATTCATTTATGTAACTGACTTCTTCCTGGGTATAGGTCCTAAAATATGAGAAATACAAAGTGGCATTGATTCACCTGGAGTTGCTTTTCTCTAACAGTAAAAGACTTAGAAAACACCTTACAAGTATCTGCCTGCTTACATGGTTGACAATGACACAGCACAGGTCACTCAATCCTATGCTATTCTGTGTCAACAGAGAGACAGGGAAAGCACTTGCTCCTCTAAGTTTCCTTCAGTGTGCTAAGCGCCAGGTTGGTTTTGCCTCAGAAAGTTCCTACTGGTTTGATCTTTTCCTGGCGTTAAACAGAGTATCCTGGAGGGATGGATCTCTTCACCTGCAGATGGAGGCCAGGATTACTTGTGAATGAAATTGTGAAACACTCTCACTACTGGATCCATCCTAGATCCCTGCACTGACACCATCTTCTTTCTCCTTCCTCTTCCCCCACCTAGCACCATCATGGTCCTCCCTATATAAAACCAGTTCACTTCACTCCTACCCATGTCTTCATTCCCTTCTCCACAGGGGCCGACCTGCTCCCGGGCCTCTCTGGATTATTATCTAGAAAGACTTCTGTTCTTACACATCCGAGACTGATGCTTGTGAGTTTAACAGTGCATGTAACTCATACACTGGCAGCTATTTCAAAACACTGCGTGAGGAAGGTTGTTAAAATTTCCTGGAGATGTGCATTGGTGTCTGGGACACAGGAGGAGGGACTTCTGCAATGCTGCTCAGAGTCCAGTCAATGGGATCGCTTGTGGTTACATGTTTGTGCTCCCTTTGGCAGGGTCAATCATTCCCACCACTAAGAATGTGCATATTCCACCTAAATGTGATTTTTTAAAACTGTGAAGTCTCACCATATACATGGTGGGTGCCTACTTTGCTCACATATAGCACTAACCCCATCCTAATAAGGAGTGACAAGGACATTTTCCCCCAGTCATCTCACCAAATTCTTGTCCAAGTTGACTTAAGGTCACCAGTGTTTCATCTTTCTAAAAACTCATACATTCCCTTGGGAAAGAGTGAGATAATTACATTTGCTTACAATTTGTTTTCAGTATTATCACATTCTACATTTGCAACTTGACATTCACATGACATGCATTGTTCTCAAGCATGAGGAAAAGAGGGAGAGAGAATATTCCCCATTTCCAAAACGCATTCAGCTGCCTTATCTGATTCTGATTCTGGTCCTCACAAAGATCTATGAAGTAGAACACACAGGAGATGTGCCCCATGGGGAAAGGAGAAACTAATGTTCAGAGCAAATTAGTGCTTCATTTAAGCAAGAAAGAACCCTGCCTTCTGACTTCTGGTCTGGTGATGTGGTGCCAGACTTAGGCGCTAATTGACAGGCAATGTCTAAAGGAGAAGCTCCTGGTATAACGTGTGACTGCCAGCTTGTTAATCCTAATAATGCCCTCAAGGAGCAACGTGGGGATAAAGCCACACCTGGTCACTGTTGGATGCCAGTGCACTGGTCTACCCAGGGCCTGAAGACCCCAGTGAGGCTGCTCCTGCAGGTGAGGGGCTTAGATGTGAAATTCACGGAACCTTTGCTTTTAAGTGTTTGTTTTATTTGTTTAAGGAAGAAGCATTTATATGTACACAGCATGAAATTAGAATGACAGGAAAGATAAAATCTACCATTAAACATTTTCTTAATTAACCAGGAAGATTTCAGGTAACTGAAAATACTTGGGCGATTATTCAGCCTGGGGAGAGAATGGAGACCTGTGTCGCCCAGAAGATGACAGTGCCTCCCCGCCAAGTGGAGTCCCTCCTCTAAAGGGAGGGACATGAAAGCAAAATCCTTCAGACACACGCAGGAGGAGGGAACACTGGAACAACAGGTAACTACTTGACATCCATGGGTTATTTAGCTAAACAACAGGCTAAGTCACAGTTAAATAAACTAAAACAGACCCTTTCAGGCAGGTTAGTACTGGGAGCAAATCTGAAGGACAACTAAGGTCAGGTCACATATTCCCCAAACATTTGCAGGGGAGCTTCCTTCAAACTGTCAGAGACTCAGAGGTCAGGTGAAGGTGTACAGGTTCTGTTTCCATTACATCCCTCACATTAGCTGAGAACGTCCAAGTGATGAACAAATGCCTGCAACATCAGCTCTGACTATCCAATGTTGTTTCTTCCATCAGCCCTTGAAGCTTATTGGATTTTATCAAATTTTACTTCCTCACATAAGCAAAACCAAGGATCTTTCTCTTGCTTGGTGATAGATCCAGGCACACAGAACAGTCCCTGCTGTGTCAGAGAATTGTGCTCTCCACCAATACCACTGTAATGAACCAGTGAAGGCCATTTCATCTCAGGGGCTTCACACTCTAAAGCACAAGCCTGATTCTTCTAATCTTGTCCCTGGGCATCTCAGGTGTGAAGAATGGCAGTGGAAACAAGGTCAGTGGAATCAGGAGACTTTTGCAGACCAGGTAGAATTGTATGCTGAGGGTAAAGCTGGGAGCAAAACAACTGTCATCAAATTCTTTCCAAATTCCCCTATTGTTTTTTAAAATTTTATTAATTTATTGAGAGGTAGAGTTACAAACACAGAGAGGGAGAGACAGAGAGGTCTTCCATCTGTTGGTTCACTCCCGAAATGGCCACAATGGCTGCAGTTGGGTGGATCCAAAGCTAGCAGCAGGAGCTTCTTCTGGGTCTCCCACATGGGTGCAGGGACCCAAGCACCTCAGCCATCTTCTACTGCTTTCCCAGGCCATAGCAAAGAGCTGGATAGGAAGTGGAGCAGCCGGGACTAGAAGTGGCTCCCATATGGTTTGCTGGCACTGCAGGTGGAGGTTTAGCCTATTGTGCCACAGCGCTGGCTCCTGTGAAGAAATCCTGCCTCTACACCATGGTCTGCACTTGGCATTTGGTGTCAGAAATAGTGGCCAGGTTCTGCAGCATCTACCCCTTTGGAACGTCAGTTCCAATCCTCTGCCTGGGACACCCCCTTGCCAGGGTGAGCAGGGTTGGCGTGCTCATATTCTACCTCCTCACGTGGCACATAAGCAAGAGGCAGCAGCACCAAGCGTTCAGCAACACACTTAGTAAGGGGAGCACTCAGTGGTGGGAGCAGTTTTTGTGATGCCACCCAGGAGGTCGAGACTGCCTTTGCTTTTCCAGGGATGCTTAGTTGGGTAACTAACCGGAGAGTCTGACCTGGCCCCAGCAGTGAACGGCCATGCTGAGAATGTCTGGCCCTGTGATGGCCTCCCCAAGGGGCTGCCCTGTGACCAGCAATGCTGGTCTGCCTTCGCAGAAGTGCCTGCCTAAAAGTGACACAACTGCCCCAACAGGCCAGCTAAACACAGCATGGGAATTTGAATTCTGATGACAGAGTTGGCATTTGACATGAAGTCTGTTTTACAATACTGTTTAAAAGGAAAATGTCCAGGTAGGCATTTGACACTACTTGGGATGTTCACATCCCATGTGGAGGTGTGGAGGTTTGACTGCTGCACTGCTCCCGACTCTAGCTTCCTGCTAAGTCACACCTGGGAGGCAGTGGTGGTGGCTCAAGTGCTTGGGTCCCTGTCACTCATGTGGGAAACCCAGATGGAGTTACAGACTGCTGGTTTTGCCTGCTGCAGGTATTTAGGGAGTGAACCAGCAGATGAGTTCTCTCCTTCTCTCTGTTGGTCTATCTCCCTCTCTCTACTCTCTGTCTTTTGAATAAAAAATACAATAAGTAACCAAATGTTTTTAAAAATAAAATAACTCTTTAATCCCCATTTGTAAAAAAAGAAATTATCAATTCCCAACTTGACTCTCACTGGGATTAAACATGACAATATGTCTGATCTGATTTCATCATCATTTAAAAAATCATCTGTTATTTTTTACTTTATGTTTCTGTGTGGGAGCAAACTGTTGAACTCT